GAGTAACTCGGCGATGTTGGTGAGTAGCTGGGAGAGGTTGGGGAATAGCTGGGTGAAGTTGGGGAGTAACTCGGCGATGTTGGTGAGTAGCTGGGTGATGTTGGTGAGTAGCTGGGAGAGGTTGGTGAGTAGCTGGGAGAGGTTGGTGAGTAGCTGGGAGAGGTTGGAGAATAACTAGGAGATGTTGGTGAGTAGCTGGGAGAGGTGGGGGAATAGTTGGGACTGGTTGGAGAGTAGGAGGGAGAGGTAGGGGAGTAGGAGGGTGAAGTGGGGGAGTATGAGGGACTCTGGGGTGTATAACCCCCAGGGGAGCGGGGCTCATAGGCAGGCGATGTTGGTGAGTAGCTGGGTGACATGGCACCACCTGCAGGAAAGAAGCCAACAAGAGATAAGCAAGACTTAGTCAAAAGGAAGGCTCCAACAGGAATGAGTATGGTTTGATAGTTAGAACTCACCTGGTGAAGGGATGTATGGACTCGAGGGGCCAGGGGAGCCCGGAGAACCTGGTGTGGGAGACCAGGCAGGGGAATAACCTGGGCTAAAGCCACTGGCATCTGAAGCAGCACTGGGAGAGAAGCCAGCTGCCCCTGGGGTCATGCCACTCCCTGGAAGTGAGAAAAGTAGGTAAAACCAGAGCTAGAGCCCAAGCACCCACCTTTCCTCAGCCCATCCACAGCTGCTGCCTACTGTTACAGCTCACATCCATCTAGACTGCCCAAGGGCCCTCTTCTCAGGCCAGATTACTCACCAACACTTGGCGACCAGGCACCATATGCTGGAGTTGCACCCTGATTCCAGGGTGTCATGGCTGGAGAGATTCCTCCCATGGGGCTAGGTGCTGAGCCGAAGAACATGCCAGTGGCTGCAAAGAGGCCCAGAGTGAGTAGGGCACCCAGGAACTAGTGGCCCCTTCCACTTCCTCCAGGTCATGGCCCGCCTCAGCCCACTGTAGACCTGGAGGAAGTTTCATGCAGCTAAGGCCCTCATACTCACGTCCAGCAGCCCCCAGGCCAGGGATATTTGTGGGGATCTCCATGCCGTATTTGCACTTCTCTGCATCTAGCAAGAGATCAAAACAGCCAGTGCCCGCTGGAGCTAGCTGGCCCAGCATGATGTTCTCAGACACTCCCTTCATGGGGTCGCTCTCCCCATGGGCAGCTGCTTCCATAAGCACATCCACCTGAACACAAGCAGAAGATACATTCACCCGTTAGACCCGTCCACACAGTGCCCAGTGCAGTTTTATTAGTCAGCCCACCGACCAGACAGCTAAAGAACAACGCCCATGTGCATTTCACATTCCTATTTCCACAGCACTCCCTCCCACCTACTCAGTTCTGCCATTACCGTTTCCTCAAAGGAACACTTCATAAGTGGCCCAGTGTCCTGGCGGTTGACCCCATGTCGGGTAATGGCCATCAAGTGGCCGCGACAGGTCATGGTATCACACAAGAGAGCCAAGTGCCGGTAATTAACGTAGGAACCATCAAAGGAGATGACATGGTACAGCTCCCGCTCCAGAGCCTTCCGGACAGCCTCAATGCCCAGCACCTGCCATGGGGGTTGACACAGAAGGTGAAGACTACCTAGTTTAGCTCTGCTCTCCACTCTGTTCCTGACATCACCTAGATCCACAAGGATGAAGAAGCCCACACATTCCACACTCAAAAATGGATTCAAAAAGGAAATATCTGAGCACAGACATACTGAGTGGAGGACACAGAAATGAGAGGCCTAAGAGCTGGAGCTCCAGGAAAGAGCACCGGGCAGGGAGTGCCAAGGACTCACCGTGAAGATCTCCACAATATCATTGGATGTGGTGCGCACGGGATCCACATCTTTCTCGCTCAGCACTCGCATTAAACTCACACCGTCTGTCTCCAGGATCCACTCCTGCAGGGCCTTGAATTCCCCGTCCTCTGTGATGATGATCTTCTTCTTGTTGTCTGTCTGTGGTAAGTGCATGTAAACCTGCAGGGGCAGAGAATTTGGCTTGGGCTGCGCAAGATAGAGCTGGGGGAAGGCAGCAGGAGGGTGGATGCGGGGGAAGGCGGACCTTGCTGATCTGCTCAATGCCCTGCAGGGTCATGTCTGTCAGCATGTTGGACTCGATGCAGCGCAGGAAGACATCATCATCCATCTTGTCCACCACTTCCTCTTCCTGCAACCAGAGCAAGCTCAGTATCCTTGAACCATCTGGTCTCCTCCATGATCCTAGTTCAAACTACTGCCTTCCAATGATCCTCAGAATCAATCGCCAACACTGCTCCTGGCTACAGAGACTACCTTTCCTTTTACAATATTAAAGAAATGCAGCAGACACAGGTGCCCAACTAATTACCCTAATGCAGTTCCCATTTTCACACAGTCCCATAGGCACTTGGTCCTTCTCAAACGTGTGCACACCCATAGGGTGCATAGGGAGTCCCTACCGGGGACATGGCACAGTAGAATAAGTGCTTCCCTGGCAAGCGCAAAGGCCCGAGTTCAATCCCCGGTTCCGCCAAAAAAAAAAAAAAAAAAAAAGCCAAACCCGTATTCACACTTTGTTAATTATTCCATGACAGGGGCTGGGGATATAGCTCAGTGGTACAGTGCCTGTCAAGTGCAAGGTCCTGAATTCGATTCCAATACCCACCCACCTCAAATTATTCCTTTTTTTTTTTTTTTTTTTGTCTTTTTGAGGCAGGGTCTTTCTATGCAAGGCAAGCTGACCTTGAGTTTACTTTGTAGCCCAGGCTGGTCTCAAACTCACAATCCTCCTGCCTAGAATTACAGGCATGTGTCACCACGCCAAAGCAAGTTCTTCAGGGTTGTTTTTTTGAGCCAGGTCTCGCTATACTGGCCCTGAACTATGTAGCCCGTGCTGGCTTCCAACTTGTGGTAATCCTCCTGCCTCAGCCTTCAGAGCACTGGGATTACTGGCTGCCAGGTGCAAATTTAAAAAATTACTGCTAACTCCTATTTCTTATTCCTAAATTAGCTGAGTGTGACTGGCACCTAAATGTTTCTTCTATGATTAAACAGGACTTATCTATTTCCCATAATGTATTAGTTTCTTCTTGGATCCCACCTACCTCTTGCATCTTGTTTTCATCACTGTTCATAATGCGGATGCGGAGGACCAGTTTCTCTGCGTTATCATCATTAAAGATACAATTCAAGTCATCTCCAAAACCTAGTGAAGAGAATGAGCCATGAGAACAAGGCCACAAGAACAAGACTTGGCTCCTTATCACTTTCCATTTGCAGCTCTCTAGCAGCGAGTTCCTTTGGCTTGCCCCACCTCTCAGAACATGTCTCCAGAAAAATGGATGGAAAGCCCTGGGGTGTAGGGACTGGCAGGCCTGAGGACCAGGAAACTGACTCTGGGAGACACCCTTGATGAGCTAAGTGGTAAACAGATGGCAGAAAGGGGATGACTCTTTTAGAGCTTGAGAACGGTGAATATGGCAGAGGTGAGAGTCCAGGTGGGGCTCCCATCCTTACCAGCATTGATCTTTTCAGCAATCTGTTCCATGGTTAGCTTCCGGTCAGTCATGTGCTTCCGGTCCAGCTCAACCCGCAAGAGCCAGGGAGAGATTCGGGCCACATCAAAGTCAGGCATTTCATAGTAGACATTCACCCACTCCTGATCTTCTGCCACTACTGTGCTCTGGGGGTTGGGATCATAGTAGATGGCTGTATTGGCAGTCACCTTCCTCAGTGTTGTGTGCTCCAGGCGGCACAGAATGTCCTGGCAAGAGAAGGGTCACGACACGGGTATTAGCTTAAGCTAAGGCCTCTCAAAGCCCTCATACTGAGGATTGCTCCAACTCTCCATTCAAGAGAAAAAATTTACCTCCTCTTCTTTCTGCCAAGAAGCCCATCATACCTAATCCTTACCTTGGCCCTCTCAGCATCTCGAGCAGACTGGCCCAGCAGGAAGACTGTGAGTGATGGGGTCTTTGGCTTCTTGGAAATATTGATGAGCTCTTTAAGTCGAGGTACACCCAGTGTCACATTCTTGGCAGACACACCAGCATAGTGAAAGGTGTTCAAGGTCATCTGAGTGGCAGGTTCTCCAAGGGACTGTGCAGCCAGAGCCCCCACCATTTCCCCAGGATGGGCCTAAGGAAAAGCTAGCATTAGATGAAACCAACCTGTTTTGTGGCCAATGAATGAGATGCAGTCAGGGTCAGGATTAGCATCTAGTAACAAAAAATCCATGCAGTTTGGAAAAGGCAGAGAGACTTAAGGTCTTATGTAATCACCCCCTTCTGCAAATAAGCCTCAACTAACACCATTTTAGCATTGATATACTGCAATCCAGAAAAGGCTCAGTAGTATCTAAAAGTCCAAATTTCTGAAATTTTGATAGTGACTGTGCTGAATCTGTAGAAAAAGCACTTTGGAACACACTGCTGCTGAGCCATAGTAAGTCTTCTAAGCCATGGATACGGGATATCTCCCCATGTCTCCAATTTCTTTCAATGGTATTTTGTAGTATTTCCTAATGCATTATTAATTAATTTGCTAGAAATACATTTACACAAGATTCAAAAGCATTCCTATAATTACTTTCCCATACTTTTAAAAAAAATATGTATTTTAGTACAGGGTCTACAGGGTCTCACTACATAGATCAGACTCAGTGATTCTCTGTTTTCAGCCTTTCAACCACTGGGATTACAGGCGTGCACCACCAACCCCAGTCTCAATTGCCATCTCAGAGCACCTCAGGGGCAGCACAGTACACTAGGGATCAAATCCTGGTCCTTGCGTCTGCCTAAGTAGCACTTTGGTCTGCAGAGTTATATGGTCGGCCCCCACACTTTCATTAGCCTATAAAATCCTTAGACAGTGACAATGTATTCCAGTATCCATGAATCTCTTTTCTACTTCTTTCAATTCCTTATCTTTCCATATTAAAATTCTGAACACATCAAGCATTTAGGAAAACAAAGAACAATACTATCTGGTATCCAAATCATAGCATTTCCTGTATGACCATCATATAGAAGTCATTCTGTCTTTGTCTCTTTTATTTCTGCCACATGGAACTAGTAATCCCTGCTGTATTAGGGTTATTTTAAGGTTGCTTTGGTACAAAGGGAGGATGCACCAAACATGGGTCTTGGCACATAGCAGGCTTTTAACAAATAGTTATTACAAAATGACTGGACAGAAGAGGGCAACGCTGAAGCTCGGTAGGTTGGTACATGCTTGTTAATCACAGCACTCGGTTTTGTTTTGTTGATACTAGGAATCAAACTTATGGCCTCGTGCTTGCTGGGCAGGCACTGTATTCTCCCAGCCCAGTCCCAACACTCAGGAGGCTGAGGCCAGAGGACTGCTGCACATTTGTGGCCAG